CATCCTTCTTGAAGTGTGGCGCCCAGAATTGCACGCAGTACTCCAACTGCAGAGGGAAGTATCACCTCTTTGGACCTATTCGTCATGCATCTGCTGATGCACGATAAAGTGCCATTGGCTTTTCTGATGGCTTCGTCACACTGCCGACTCATGTTCATCTTGGAGTCCACTAGGACTCCAAGATCCCTTTCCACTTCCGTGCCACCCAGCAGGTCATTCCCTAGGCTGTAGGTGTGCTGGACATTTTTCCTCCCTAGGTGCAGCACTTTGCATTTCTCCTTGTTGAACTGCATTCTGATGTTTTCTGCCCACTTGTCCAACCTGTCCAGGTCTGCTTGCAGCTGTTCCCTGCCCTCCGGTGTGTCCACTTCTCCCCATAGTTTTGTGTCATCCACAAACTTGGACAGAGTACACTTCACTCCCTCGTCCAAGTCGCTGATGAAGACATTAATCTTCACGACTCTCTGGGTGCGACCCTCCAGCCAATCCGCCACCCACCGGACTGTGTAATCATCCAAGTCACAGCCTCTTAACTTGTTCACCAGTATGGGGTGGGATACCGTATCGAAGGCCTTCCTGAAGTTTAAGTATACGACATCCACCCCTCCTCCTGTGTCCAGGCGTTCCGTAACCTGGTCATAAAAAGAGACTGGATTGGTCAGGCACAATCTGCCTGCTACGAACCCGTGCTGGTTTCCCCTCAGCATAATTTGTCCTGCCGGGCTCTCGCAAATGTGAGCCTTGATTATTTTGGAATGGAACAGTCTCATCCCTTTCTCCTTTTTTTGCTAGGCCAAAAGTGCCAAGCTCTTCTAGTCTTCTCCTGGTCAACAGATTACCTGTCCTTCTCCCCACTTTTTCCAGATGGAATACATTTTTCCATAACATGAATGACCAGAACCACACACAATATTCCAGAGAAACCATCAGCCATGCCTCATACAATGGCACAAATACTTCCCCTATCTCTACTGAAAATACCTCCCCTTGATCCATCCACTCACCCATTTACCTTTCACGGGCGCACCCCAGTGATGGCTCATGGCCATGTTGCAGCTGACTAATACAGCCGTGTCTTTCTCCTCCTGGGTCATTTCAAATGGATGAGCTCCTAGTTCATAGAAGAAATTCTTGTCCTTATTCCCTAAGATGCAGGACCTTGCACTTCGTGGGTGTGTCTACGCGTGTAATTAATGTGCTTGAATTTTCTGCACAGAAAATTCAGGTGTGTTAAAGCACTGCCCAGGGCACATTTACACATGCGCCCCCATGGGGGGCAAACAGAGATGTAAAGGAGAAGCCCAATCCAGGACTGCTGCTGCTACCCTGCTCTGCCCCCCAGGCTCCCCTGCGTGTCAGCCCCATGCTGGCAGGGGGCACAGGGGTTTAACCCTGAGCTCTGAAGGCTGCGGGGGAGCTGTCCCGTCTCGGTGGGCAGCTCTGTCCCAGCGGGGGGCAAGGAGATCAGGCTGGCCCCAGGAGCGGGGAGAGGGAGGTAGCTGTCCCAGTCTCCACATGGCTGGGAAGCAGCTGCCTAGCAGCCAGGACAATTCTCCCAGCCACATGGAAATCGGGACGGGTCCTGATCTCCATGTGGCTGGGAGGCAGCATCCCACTGAGCTGGAACAACTCTCTTTGTACCCTTAGGCCCCCAGCCACTTGAGGAGGAACAATTTGCTCCCAGTCATCGTCTGTACATGTGATATGGCGCATTAGTTAATGTGCCATTTTCCAAGTACCTGTATCTACTAATATATTGCACAGTAATTGCTGCACATGTGCAGACAGTGATGCTTTACTGCGCATTACTCTAATGTGCAGTAAAGCATCTCATGTAGACACACACTGTGATACTGAATGACAGCTCATGAGATTAGCAACCCATTGTCCTTCCTACAGGTATGGGGACACTTTCTGTTTGATGAGAAGATGCTCTGCCCATCTCCCCTCTTACTGTGATTTCACAGTGTCCCCAGTACTAGAAACTCTCAAAGACAAAGACAGTATTAAGGACACTCACCTTCATCTTCTATCATAGATGGTGTCAATCAACTATTCTCGTTGTCCCCAAGGGACAGGAAAAGTAATAGGTTTAAACTGCAGCAAGGGAAATTTAGGTTAGATGTTAGAATGAACTTTCTAACTCTGCAGGTGGTGAAGCACAAGGGCAGATTACCTGGGGAGGCTATAGCATCTCCATCCTTCGACATTTTAAAGTGTGGGTTGGATAAACATTTGTCTGGGATAGTATAGACAGGGATGACCTGATCTTGAGCAGGAAGATGGGCTCCCCATGTCCCTTCAGTCCTATTTGCCCGTGATTCCACTATCTAAGCATTTTAAAGAGCAGTTACAGGCTAATTACAGTAAAAAGAACAAGTAGATTAGAAACGTAGGAGACGAACACTAGCCCTCAGAGTCAGTCATCTATTAAACATCTTCAAACAAATTCAGAGCAAGCAGAAAGAAGTAGTTAGCTGTGTTAGTCTGAAGGCAAGCAGAAGGCAGGGTAAGGATGCACCTTAGAAGTGTACCAAATAAGATGCTTATATTTTCATGATCCCAAGCTCATTTTACTTGAAAACGGTAGCAGTAGGCACATCTTCTAGACCAGGCTTGTCCAACATACAGCCCGCGGCCACCACGCAGCCTGCCAAGCCATTTTATCTGGCCCAAAGCCACGGCAGCACGGAGCCGGTGGCGGCGAGGCAGACAGAGAGCGCGGAGGGAGCGCAGTGAGGCGGGCAGGGAGCGCTGTGGGTGGCAGAGCCGTGGCAGCGAGGCGGGCAGGGAGTGCAAAGGGAGCGCAGCGAGGCGGGCAGGGTGGGCAGGGAGGCGGGCAGGGAGTGTGGAGGGAGTGCGGCGAGGTGGGCAGGGAGCACTGCGGAGTGCAGAGCCATGGCGGCGGGGCAGCGGCGAGGCGGGCAGGGCCAGCCCGTGGGCCCCAACCAGCAGAGAGGGGAGGGGAGCTGCTTACCCCCGCAGGTCCCGGGGGAGCGGTCCCGCGTGGGAGGCCAAGCAGCAGCCGCGGGCAGTGCCGGCCCGCACCTGCCTCCTCACCCCCACCCCCACCCCACTTCAAGCCAGCCC